GTTATGGGGGAGGAGACGCAGTGCCTCAGCGAGGAGGACGACGTCGGGGGAGCGGAGCTACAGGCCCTGGATGCGGCCATCTTGGAGGCCGGCTTTGGTGAAGCAGACCAGGACGAGGTGGACGATAAGGCCCGGGAGGCTGCTGAGGAGCTCCCCACAAAGCCTCCCCGTCAGGTCGCGAAAGACTTGAGCGACCGTCAAGCTTGCCTCTCTCTGCCGGACCTGCCACCTCAGGAGCCGGAGGCGGCAGCAGCAGCGGCACCCCTCTCTCAGGGCGACCCCCCGGCCAACGTGCCTTCCCCACCTCCCACACTTGCCAAAGACCTTCCCGTGGAGCTGGCCGAGGCCCCGCCCTCCCCTCTCAAGACCACGTGCGGCCTGGACCCCGAGCTCTACTTCACGGCTCCCTCGACCCCCATCAAGACTGTCTTTTCCCACCTCAGGCCTCACCCGTTCTCCAAAGACAGCCTGAGCGAGGAGCCCGGAGATTTGGACAGCGAAGGCCTCTGCTCCCCACCCACCTCGCCCTCGGGGTCCTACATCACAGCCGAGGGGGGCAGCTGGGCCTCGTCGGGCACCTCCAACACTTCCCCGTCCTGTTCGCCAAACCTCATTGCTGAATCCGAAGCCATGGAGGTCCCAGCGGCTTATGGGGAGCCTCTGTCAGAGCTGGATCTCTCAGAGGGGCTGACGGGGTTCTCGAGAACGTCATGCCTGTCTCCTGATTTGGAGGGAGAGGTGGCCTTCCACACGCTGTCTTCTGGCGCTTTAGGCCATTCCCTGTTTCCCACGGAGGATGACGAGGGTGAGGAGGACGGGCAGACGACGCCGGAGGAGGACGGAGGAGACTGGGGTTACGAGATAGCTGCCGCAGGGCTAGACCCCCAGAAGTCAGAGCGAGTGACGTTGTCACGGCCGGACCTCGCTGACGAAGCAGAGCGGAGCAGCAAGGGTTTGGACCACAAGCTCTTCAAAGCAGAGAGCTTGCCTGCTGGTGGTGCTTCAGGAGGGCAAGAGGGGTCCAGCCCCTCCGCCTGTCCACTGGCTGCCTTCTCAGGGCTTCTATCGGAGGGGCCTGCGAGTCCACCCAGGGTCCACTCCTCCGATCCCGACGTATCCAGCAGACTGCGAGCAGAGGCGGTGGCGTCCTCCCCTGATGACGCCGCGGAGAGCACAGAAAACGACCAGATGATTCCTGCGTTGCTCCTGCCTTTCCACGGGAGCCTCATCTTTGAGGCGGAGTCCATGGAGATAACGCTGTTCCCTCAGGGGGAACCGGTGGAGAACGACACCGTCTGTGGCGCGGAGGACGACGCCAGCACGTCCACCTCCTTCCTGCACTCCCTCTCGGAGACCTCCATCAACGAAGGGGTCGACGAGTCCTTTGCTTTCCAAGACGACACCTCCCAGTCCTCCGACTCAGCCTCCTACAATGGGGAGGAAGACGAGCGGCTGTATAGCATCGAGCAGTACGCCGTGGACCCGGAAGCTGCTCCGCAAGAGACCAAATCCTCCACAGAGGTCCTGGGGACGGAAACATCCCACTTGGGCAGTGAAAGTGAGATGGAGACCTCATCGGACGCTTACAACACCGACGAGGAAGACTCTGGATCTGCACTCGGTGAACTTCAGCCGCCGGCAAAGGGGCAGCTGGTGGGGAATGGATCCTCCCAGGACGAGCCTAAAGAGAACGAGAGATCCCAGGAGGGACAGATCCAGGGGAATTTGAACTTTGAGCTGGCAGATGCCTCCGGATTGCAAGCTGTACCCGAGCAAGAGGGCCCTGGCGATTCCTCCGAATGTTCAGGAAGCAGCAGCAGTGTTCCTTCCCCTGGTCAGGAGTGGGGGGCTCCTCTAGAGCAGGACACTGGAGCATCTTCCGGAGCGCTCGGTCGCAGTACCAAATCCGATGAGGAAGAAGACTCCCAAGGGGAAACAGGCTCCTCCCGCAGCTCGCTGGAGCACCAGTCTCTCTCTGACGTGCGGGAGGCCCCGGGGAGAGGTGTCCCTGAGACCGGGGAATGCCTGATTGCCTGTTTTGATACAGACGATGAAGTAGATAACCTGCCGTCTTTGGACGCTACCACGGAGCAGCCTGAGCCGGCGAGTCAAGTATCCGAAGAGTGGATTGACCACGTTTATGTGGGAGCTGCCATCCCTCTGGGGTGGGACCCCAAACCATGCCAGCCCGCAGAACTCACGGCCACGGAGTCCGCTGACTCGCCTGCTGTTGATATTGGCGCCAGGCTGAAAGAATCGGAAGAACGGCTGCTGGAACTCCTCGACCATGACGATGCGTCCGGGGGAGACTCACCAGAGCTGGGAAGGGAGTCGGACGTTGATTCAGAAAAGGGGGAGGCACCATTCGTGTCTCTCCTTCAGTCCTCTGAGGCGGCCATCTTGGAGCAGCCGGAAGTGATGCGAGCGGACGAGCCCGCGGGGGAGTGCCTTTTTGCCTGCTTTGAGTCGGAAGACGAGCTGGAGGAGGCCTCCTCCCTGGACCTGATGAACAACAATGAGGACCACATGGTGGTGACCTTTGCTGAGGCTGACCCAGATTCCAAGCTCCTCGTGGGGCTAAGCGATGCACAGGAGAAGACGCTCCTAGCTCCTTCCGCGGAGGTCACCTTAGAGTCAGCAGCCCCTCTGCCGCGAGACTCTCCTCTGCCCCACAGGGATGTCGAGGTACCTGAGATGGAATCCCGTATCGGACAGTATCCGGCCAGCAAGAAGCGGGAACCGGGCGATAAGGATCCTTCTGAGCACCTCCAACAATGCTCGGAGACCGGAGAGACCAAAGAGTCCAAGATAGGAGATCCTCTGCCTGCCGAGAGTGACCGCACGCCAAGGGCAGACGACGCTCGAGAGGAATCTAGAGAATGTGTCCAGGGCAAGGAGCGGCCGGGAGAAGGAGCTCCGGAGGTGAAGGAAGCTGCTGAAATGCTGGAGGAGAAACAGCCACTGTCCACGTCGGCCTCCTCGGACCAGAACTGGGACACTCCCTCAGAGGAGGAGGAAGTGACCTCAGAATATGAGAGTGAAGAATGCGTCAAGGCTGACTCGGCTCCGGAACCCCCCCTCGCGGAAGCTGCCTCCCGTCTAGACCGACTGGAAGCTGAGCACTCCGTCTCGGAGGCCCCAGGGCTGCCTGACTCAAGGCCTCTGGCGCTCCGGGGAGTCGATGCTCCCCACGGGGGCTTTGAACAGCCCAGCCTGAGAGATGATAACATGAATCTAGTCCCGGCTCGGGACATTGAGGCTACTGATGTGCCTGCAGTGGACAAGACCAGTGGTCCTGGGCCATGGCCGGACAGTTCTGGTGAAAGGAGGGGGCGCACGGAGAATGAGGTGGTGATTCCCAGTGCCGTGGCCGACTTGGGCACCCACGAGACAGCAGGCAGGAGAAAGCCCGCCGAAGGGTCACAACTTGGGGGCGCATGGATTCCTGCATCCCAAACAGCAACCAAAAATGCCGCACTGTCCATTCAGCAAGAGGCTCAGATTCCTGAGGAATGGGAGGAAAGAGCGGAGCATCTGCTCGCTTCCAAAGATAACGGTTATCTGGACACTAGCGTCCAGAGCCGCGGAGCCGCGCAGAGCACTCCCGTTTCCGAAAAGGTAGCAAAACCTTCCGTCGTCGGTGCCGGCGACCGGCCTAGAGAAGGCCTGCAGATCGAAAAGAAGACGTTTGCTCAGGCCTTGCTTCAAGGCCTCATGCAGGCTTTGGATGCTGAGCCGGCGTGGCGGGAAAAGGATGCTGCGAGGTCTTTCTCAGAGCTGCCCGAGGTCTCCCCTTCGCGCTCGCAGACAGACTCCAGCTTCTTCACGGCGGCCGAATACAGTTCGGCTGAGACGGTTGTGCTGACTGCATCCCCGGACTCTGAGAGGGGAGACCTACCGTCTCCTGAGCAAGCCGAGGGCAGCCCAGCACGTGTGGCAGAAGAGAGCCCTCCTCTGCGGGAATGGCAGGCGGCAGCCCCTGAGCCAGAGCTTCTCCGCTTTGAGACGGCACAGGCGGCCGAGGCAGAAGAGGCAACTTCCCGGCCAAACATGGCCCTCTGCCTGCATCACACAGCTCTCGCTCAAACCGCTGGCTCGGCCGGCTCACGGCGCGCAAAAGCACAAAGGGACGCGGCACCCACGCCGACGAGCCCCCAGCCTCTTTTCTTTGCTTCCGAAGAGGAGATATTCTTGACGGAGCCCCGTCTGGCTCGACAAGACCTTTCCCGGGCAGAAGCCAAACACGCCAGTGCCGCGGACCATTCAGGGACCACAACCCGTGTCACAGCCACGGCCGATTCTGAGACTGTTGCTCCGGGGAGCTCGCCAGCCACGTGTAGCCCGCTCAAACCGCCTGGTGCCTTGTCGCAGAGTTCTGCTCGGGTCGCAGAGCCTCCAGAGGTGCCCACGGATCAGGAACAAGTCACCAGCATGCTGCGAGGGTCCTTCGGGAGCCGGAAGGAGCAGAGAGCGGCGGGAGGCGCTTCGCTCGAGAGCAGCCCGCTGCTTGCCGAAGCACAAAGCCTTCTCGGCAGCCTTAAGGAGGGCGTCGTGGAGAGGTCGTCCGGGAAAGCCACGCCGGACCTGACAGACGTCAAGGAATCCTCCTCTTGATGCCGCCGCTGTCGGTCAAGACCGTGACGCCCCTCGGCCTTCTGAGGAGGAAGCAAGAGGTGAGGACCAGCCGGAGACAGGGGGACTTGAAACGGCACTCAAACCTGAAGGTGCTTCCCCGTCTTCGGAGGAAACCCCGACGGACGGCAGCTGGCTGGGGACATCTGCGTCAGGAGAAGCAGAGCAGCCTGTCGAAGAAGAGGTCTGTCTTCCCAAAGAAGATGCCGCCGGGCCCCCGGCTCAGGGTTGGCCAGGAGAAACGCCCCTCCAGGTCCTGGATGCTGGTTTATTAGCAGAGGAGGGAACGAGAGAGACCCTCGAAGGGAATAGATCAGGGGATGCCGCAAGGGAAGCTAGCAGCCCAACGAAGGTGGAGAGCGACGAGGAAGGCGGAGCAGAAGCAAAGGCCTCCGATGGCGCTGACCTGGATTCCGCCCCCGTCCCTCCACCGCAGACCCCGCAACCGCCCAAAGCCGCATCAGAAGCACCTCCTCTCCTCGCTCGTCCTGCGTCTCCCTCGCCGTCGGAGCTGCCTGCACCTCTTCCCTCGGAGCCAGCCTCTGTCTCACCACCTTGTCCCGCGAGCCCGGAGCCCCACAAAGTGCCTGCTGCATCACCCTCGCCGGTGCCGCCGCCGCCCCCTCCCTCGGAGAGTCGCCCCCCAGGCCCAGCCTCTACCCCCAGCCTTCCCGCTCCTTCCGCAAGCCGCGAGGAGGAACCCACTCGTGCCGAAGAGACCACCGTCCTCCCGCAAGACTCCGGGAAGCCTGCGGCGGAAGGTAAGGTTGCTTTTCTGGCCTCCTCCGGAGCGAAAGGTTCAGAGCCCACCCACAAGTCGCTTCAGGGCGCCCAGGAAGGGGAGCTGGTCCACTTGGACAGCGGGGTCCCCCAGACACAAAGAGCAGAGAGGCAGAATAGCGCAGACATGCATACATGATATAGATACCTACTAGTCTATTCTGGGACCAAAACTCGTCTGGCTGCCACAGGAAGAGCCCTGCTGGGTCAGACCAGGGAGGGTCCATCTAGTCCAGTCTCCTGTCTCACACAGTGGCCAGCCCGTTCCTCTGGAGGGCCAACAACAGGGCAGAGAGGCCGAGGCCTTCCCCTGAGAAGAACCTCAGAAGAGTCCTGCTGGATCAGACCAGGGAGGGTCCATCTAGTCCAGTCTCCTGTCTCACACAGTGGCCAGCCCGTTCCTCTGGAGGGCCAACAACAGGGCAGAGAGGCCGAGGCCTTCCCCTGAGAAGAACCTCAGAAGAGTCCTGCTGGATCAGACCAGGGAGGGTCCATCTAGTCCAGTCTCCTGTCTCACACAGTGGCCAGCCCGTTCCTCTGGAGGGCCAACAACAGGGCAGAGAGGCCGAGGCCTTCCCCTGAGAAGAACCTCAGAAGAGTCCTGCTGGATCAGACCAGGGAGGGTCCATCTAGTCCAGTCTCCTGTCTCACACAGTGGCCAGCCCGTTCCTCTGGAGGGCCAACAACAGGGCAGAGAGGCCGAGGCCTTCCCCTGAGAAGAACCTCAGAAGAGTCCTGCTGGATCAGACCAGGGAGGGTCCATCTAGTCCAGTCTCCTGTCTCACACAGTGGCCAGCCCGTTCCTCTGGAGGGCCAACAACAGGGCAGAGAGGCCGAGGCCTTCCCCTGAGAAGAACCTCAGAAGAGTCCTGCTGGATCAGACCAGGGAGGGTCCATCTAGTCCAGTCTCCTGTCTCACACAGTGGCCAGCCCGTTCCTCTGGAGGGCCAACAACAGGGCAGAGAGGCCGAGGCCTTCCCCTGAGAAGAACCTCAGAAGAGTCCTGCTGGATCAGACCAGGGAGGGTCCATCTAGTCCAGTCTCCTGTCTCACACAGTGGCCAGCCCGTTCCTCTGGAGGGCCAACAACAGGGCAGAGAGGCCGAGGCCTTCCCCTGAGAAGAACCTCAGAAGAGTCCTGCTGGATCAGACCAGGGAGGGTCCATCTAGTCCAGTCTCCTGTCTCACACAGTGGCCAGCCCGTTCCTCTGGAGGGCCAACAACAGGGCAGAGAGGCCGAGGCCTTCCCCTGAGAAGAACCTCAGAAGAGTCCTGCTGGATCAGACCAGGGAGGGTCCATCTAGTCCAGTCTCCTGTCTCACACAGTGGCCAGCCCGTTCCTCTGGAGGGCCAACAACAGGGCAGAGAGGCCGAGGCCTTCCCCTGAGAAGAACCTCAGAAGAGTCCTGCTGGATCAGACCAGGGAGGGTCCATCTAGTCCAGTCTCCTGTCTCACACAGTGGCCAGCCCGTTCCTCTGGAGGGCCAACAACAGGGCAGAGAGGCCGAGGCCTTCCCCTGATGTTGCCTGGTGGCTCTGGGACTCAGAGGTCTACTACTGCCTTTGGATATGGAGGTTCCCTTTAGTCACCATGGCTAGTAGCTAATGATAGACCTCTCCTTCATGAATCTCTCTAACCCCCACTTAAAGCTTTCTACGCCTCTCTGTGACCGTCATGACAGCCTCTGGCAGCGAATTCCTGGATTTCTCTGGCTCCAAAGGAGAGGCAGATGGTGACCACTAAGTCCAATCCCTCTGCAGAGTCTTGAGTTGGGCAATGCGGGTTCACCCAGTTGCTATACAAACACGGTCACAGGTTTGAGTAGAAAAGGAAAAAGGAAGCTGTACTGTGTACAGAACTATATATATTATAATGAATGAACTTATATATGAAAAATCTAAGTCTATTTTATCGTGTTGGATATAGGTGTCCTAAAGGAATAGTGAAGGTTCTTATACACAGGGGTCATTTGGCAGAAAAAGAGGTGCAGAAGCTCATTGGCATAACTCATTAGCATAACATATTTGCATATGCCATGCCCCCTGACATCGCCGGAAGTGTGTCAGAAGGCAACACCCACCTCTCAGGCTCCACTGGACTGTTTTGGACCAGGGGGCCGGGGGGGAGGGCTCTGCAACTTACCTGGCTGCTTCTTGCTCTGACTGAGCGCTGCTGGGAGCAGGGGGTGGGGCTTGTTGCGTGTGCCCGCCCCCTGGGCTCTTTACTGCCGGAGCTCCGCTCCTGTGTGCTCCTGTAGGAAATGACCCCTGCTTATACCAACACCAACAAATTAAACATCAACGTAAGAAATACAAAGAAATCCTATGGTAGAAAAAAACCTTTCCACGTGGTATGAAATACTCTCCAAGATCGTCTCCTTCTGAGCCTGATGTGAAAGTATGCAGCTGCTGATGGATTTTGGGAGGCTGACTGCGTTCCGTTATTAACATACTTCTTAATGTGCTTTGTAGCCAGCGTCAAATGTTTATGTCTATAGAAGGATCATCAATTTTTGAAACGGCCCTTTATCGGTAACCCATTGGGTTTGGATCCTTATTCATCATGTGCTTCATCACCCCAATACAGATGGGATGAAGTGAACTGTCTTACTACGGAAAGATACAGTCTTGGAGGGTATTTCGTTTTTTATGGGAAGGTTTTTTTCCTACTGTAGGATTTCTTTGCATTTTCTACGTTGGAATGGACACTTTTGATGTTCAATTTGTTGCTATTTGTATAAGAACCTTTGCTATTTCTTCATGATATTTATATTCAACACAATAGAATATACTTAGGTTCATCCAGTGGAGCGGAGAAATCTCCAAAGGGTGCACTGATCGGTTCTTTTTTCTCAGACTTTTAAAGAAAAATAACTTGAGTGAGAAAATACTGATGTCCTTCTATCGTTGCTCAATAGAGAGCATTTTAACATACTGCGTCTGTGCCTGGTTTGCCAGTTGTATGGCTGTGGATAGGAAAGCACTCCAGAGAGTTATCATCACAACCCAGAAGATTATTGGCTGCCCTCTCCCGTTCCTGGAGGAATTGTATAGTTCTCGATGCTTGAAAAAAGCAAAGAACATTCTAAAGGATTTGTCACACCCTGAACACTCTCTGTTTGAACTGCTGCCTTCGGGTAGAAGATATAGGACAATTGAAACAAGGACAAACAGATTAAAAATAGTTTTTATTCAAGAGCTATTATTGCTTTAAATGCTGTATGAAATTGGAATTTGGGTGACATTGGTGGTTTAAGTTGCAATGTGAACCTTAAGGGAGTTATGGGATGGTTGTGAATGGTTGTGTGAGTGTATATGAGTATGGTTGTAGATCACCGAATGATTGCACCTTTAATTTCGTTGTACTATGTACAATGACAATAAAGTATATTATTATTATTATTCCTTTTCTCCAGTCCTCCAGAGCACCCGACCTTCCGTGCCCTCCCGAGACTCGCTTCCAAGCAGCAAAGATTCCAGAGGCCGGAACCGGTTGCCCGGGAGCAAAGACTCCAGGGGGAAGGACTTCCTCTCTGCTGGGGAGAGGAGGGCCGACCGTGGTGGGCCCCTGCTGCTGGACTCGAGCTCATCCAGCGAGCGGGAGCTGCCGTACCGCTGCCCCGAGATCGAGAGCCTCAGGGAAGCCACGGGGATCGTCCTCCTGGATGAGAAGAAGTCCTTGGTGGGCTGGGGAACCCAGGAAGCCAACCACAAAGGTAAGACCTCCTTTGGCCTCCCTGGGTTTGGCTGCCAGCTGTGTTCCCTCTAAGCTGAGTGAGTGTGAGCCAGCTCACAGTTTTTTAGGCTCCGGCTCACGCATTTCTTTTGAACTATGGTGCTGGAGAAGACTCTTGAGAGTCCCTTGGACTGCAAGAAGATCAAATCAGTCAATCCTAAAAGAAATCAACCCTGACTGTTCCCTGGAAGGCCAGATAATGAAGCTGAAGCTCAAATACTTTGGCCACCCAATGAGAAGGGAGCACTCACTGGAGGAGAAGACCCTGATGCTGGGAAAGATTGAAGGTCAAAGAAGACGGGGACGGCAAAGGATGAGGTGGTTAGACAGTGTCATCGATGCAACGGACATGAAATTGAGCCAACTTCAGAGGACGGCGGAAGACAGGAAGGCCTGGCGGGATCTTGTCCATGGGGTCACGAAGAGTCGGACTCGACTGTGCGACTGAACAACAACACGCATTTTTGCCGTAGCTCAGGAAGGAGGGCACCAGAGCAAACGAATTCATTCGGTAGCCAAACCGCTGGCTCACCGCTTTCATGCCAGCAGCTCAGAGAGTAGAATTGCTGCTCTGCAACCGAGCAGGCAACTTGAGCAAGATTATCCAGACGATTCTTAGCATGGGTCTTTCCTTCCACGCACCTCCTCCCGACAGCACTGAATGTGCACTTCTCCCTGGCACGGAATGTGGATTTATTCTCTGTGCACAGAGCACTCAGCGGCTGTGGTGCAGGGGCTGCGGCCGCATGCGGAGACTGGGCAGCCGGAGTAGCTGTCTCGTAACCCCAGGCGGGATGGAGACTTCCCGTAAATGGTTTTTGCTAAAACCGCCCGGGGGGGGGGGGGGGGGGAAGGAGCCACGGCTGAAGAGAATCTTCTAAGTGCATGGGGGGGCGGGGATGGAGCGTCTGGCTTCGCTTGGGAGCAACTGCAGGAGGAGGCTGTCAGGAAGCCTTCTCACCCTTGAGCTTCCGGAAAGCAAAGGGGCTGGCAGCATTTATACTGGAACACTCTCTGCCCCAAGAGGCAAAGGCAGGAAACCAGGATGTGTGTTAATGGGCTGCCCTAAAGCAGTGCCCCCCCCACCAGTTGGCACAGTCTTGGGCACAGAGCAACGCTCCCTCTAAGCTGTGGAGACTTGTGAGCAAAAATCCTACTTTGTGAGCTACTGGCATTGAAGTTGTGAGCGAGTGATTGGGCCGCTGCATAAATTAGTTTGCTCTCGAGCCAGCCTTTCTGAGCGAAGACAAAACTGTGTGAGCCGGAGGCTAAAAAACTGTGAGCTAGCTCACACTCACTCAGCTTAGAGGGAACACTGGCACAGAGAGGTCCCCAACCAGTGTTCCCTCTAAGCTGAGTTTAGTGTGAGTCAGCTCACCGTTTTTTAGCCTCCGGCTCACAGATTTTTTGTCTTGGCTCAGGAAGGACGTGGCTCCAGAGCAAACTGAGTTATGGAGTCATCAAATCGCTCGCTTTAATGCCAGGAGCTCACAAAGTAGGATTTTTGCTCACAAGACTCCACAGCTTAGAGGACGCATTGAGCCCCAACCCGTTGCCTGAGTCCTGAAGCATCTCGCTGCTTCTCCTCCCTCTGTTGTACTTTTTCCTGAACCTGGGCAGCAGTGTTCCCTCTAAGCTGAGTTAGTGTGAGCTAGCTCACAGTTTTTTAGCCTCCAGCTCACAGCATTAATGCCAGCAGCTGACAAAAGTAGGATTTTTGCTCACAGGACTCCGCAGCTTAGAAGGAGCATTGGTCCTGAGCAGTGTTCCCTCTAAGCCGAGTCAGTGAGAGCCAGCTCACAGTTTATGAGGCTCCAGCTCACACATTTTTGTCTTCGCTCAGGAAGGATGGCTCCAGAGCAAATTAATGTATGCAGCAGCCGAATCGCTCGCTCACAGCTTTAATGCCAGCATTAAATTTTTGCTCACAAGACTCCACAGCTTAGAGGGAGCATTGGTCCTCCAGTGTTCCCTCTAAGCTGAGTCAGTGTGAGCTAGCTCACACTTTTTGAGCCTCCAGCTCACACATTTTTGTCTCTGCTCAGGAAAGAGGGGCTCCAGAGCAAACTGATTGATGCAGCAGCCAAATCGCTCGCTCACAACTTTAATGCCAGCATTAAATTTTTGCTCACAAGACTCCACAGCTTAGAGGGAGCATGGGTCCTCCAGTGTTCCCTCTAAGCTGAGTCAGTGTGAGCTAGCTCACAGTTTTTGAGCCTCCAGCTCACACATTTTTGCCTCTGCTCAGGAAAGAGGGGCTCCAGAGCAAACTAATTTATGCAGCAGCCAAATCGCTCGCTCACCACTTTAATGCCAGCATTAAATTTTTGCTCACAAGACTCCACAGCTTAGAGGGAGCATGGGTCCTCCAGTGTTCCCTCTAAGCTGAGTCAGTGTGAGCTAGCTCACAGTTTTTGAGCCTCCAGCTCACACATTTTTGCCTCTGCTCAGGAAAGAGGGGCTCCAGAGCAAACTGATTGATGCAGCAGCCAAATCGCTCGCTCACCCCTTTAATGCCAGCAGGTCACAAAGTAGAATTTTTGCTCACAAGACTCCATGGCTTAGAGGGAGCATTGGTCCCAACTACCTAGACCAACAACTTGAGGAGCCGGGCTACCTAGACACAAGTGGGACAGCTAAGGAATCGTGTGCAGAATTGCACCCTTTGAAGAGAGTCCTGCTGACTTGGTGGGAACTGCTCTTGAGGGAACACGGGTCGGTCCAGAGCCCCCCTTTTCCCTGTGGTCTTGTGCCCTCCTTCCCCCCTTGCCATTGTAAGGGTGGCATATAAAACCAGTGAACTTTATCAGCTGATGCCGGTGGGGATACTGGCCATTGGTAGCACAGGAACTGCTCTTGAGGGAACACGGGTCGGCCTGGGGTGGAAGTCCAGAGCCCCCCCTTTTCCGTGTGGTCTTGTGCCCTCTTTCCCCCTTGCCATTGGAAGGGTGGCATATAAAACCAGTGAACCTTATCAGCTGATACCGGTGGGGATACTGGCCATTGGTAGCACAGGAAGCCCCATGTGCCCCTAATGTAGTGATTGATTTGATTTATTCCCCGCCGAAGCCGGCTCAGGGCGGCTTACAAAGGATAAAACAGAAGAACAATTATAACATAAATAAAAGCATCTAAAAACAGTCCAATATCATAAAGTGCTAGCTGGTTGTAAAACTAATACATTAGGGATGGCGGCAACAGTTACGTTAAGAACATAAGAACATAAGAGATGCCAATGTTGGATCAGGCCAAAGGCCCATCCAGTTCAACACTCTATCACACAGTGGCCAGAAATACCAGTGCCATCAGGAGGTCCAGCAGTGGGGCCAGGACATTAGAAGCCCTCCCACTGCTGCCCCCCCCAAGCACCAAGATGACAGAGCATCACTTGCCCCAGAGCTCCTATCTATACCTTGTGGCTAAGAGCCACTGATGGACCTCTGCTCCATATGCTTATCTAATTCCCTCTTGAAGCCGTCCATGCTTGTAGCCGCCACCACTTCCTGTGGCAGTGAATTCCACGTGTTAATCACTCTTTGGGTGAAGAAGGACTTCCTTTTATCCGTTCTAACCCGACCGCTCAGCAATTTCATATTTAATATGATCGTTGCAGTCTTCAAGTATTTGAAGGGCTGTCATGTAGAAGATGGAGCAGATCTATTCCCTCTTGCTCCGGATTGCAAGACTAGATCGAATGGGTGGGAATTACAAGGGAGTCGATGCCGGCTAAATATCAGGAGAAGCTTCCTGACTGTAAGAGTGGTTGAGCAGTGGAACAGACTGCCTCGGGAGGTGGTGGATGCTCCTTCGCTGGACGTTTTCAAGCAGAGGCTGGACGACCCTCTTTCGGGTATGTTGTAGGGCTATTTTCTGGCTGTGCTCCTGCAGAGTGCAGGGATTTGGACTAGATGACCTGCAAGGTGCCTTACAACTCTGAACAGTCTATGATTCTATGATTCTATCTCTGGTCTCCTTTGTTCATCAGCTTCTTGATCTTTATC